TATAATATAAATCATTACAGTATTATTATTTTCAGCTGCATAATGTCACACCGGAAAAGATTACACCTAAATCTATACAACACTCCATATGAATATAACATAACTGATGCATATCGATACGACAAATATTTCAATGTTTCTCAAACTGTTTGAAAACGTACCGTACAATAGATTGATACACAAGTATCGATTCTAAATATAAATGTATCCACGATGGACCCAGTCTCAGTTTCAACCATAACAGAGGCAAAATTCTCGTTATAACAGAGAATCTTCCCTCGCTTATCGATACATCGACAAAAAGAAATTGAGATAGTTTTAAACGGGCGCGTTGAACAAAGTTGGCAGGAACAAGGGAAAGAGAATAGACGATCAAATGGAAGTTCTGTTTGACTTTGGCGGCGGATGGAAATTGTTCGGCGAGTATCTTGCCCCAAGAAATCGGTTGGCTATGAGCAGTGTGTTTGGACGGATTTAATGGCGTCTGTGGAAGGATTAATAGCGGCGAAGGCAGAGCCCCGTTGAGAGCTTACGGAAGTCTTCATTTTAGCGGGAACGTAGCGAAGATCGTAAAATGGTAATGATTGGATTAATAATGTGCTTTCATTCAGGTCTCATTCTCTGTTGGCGAAGTTCTTCCATCTATACTATGCAGCATGGTGCTTACATTTCATGTCATTCGACTAGAGGTTTCTGAAGGTGTAGTTTCAAAATATACGCGTATAAATGTTAAGAATTTCAGTTGGAGTAATTATTTTAGTTGTAAGTGGAGAGCTAATGTTGTGTATGTATAGCTCAGTGAAGAATTAAGAATTTGAAGTGAAGAGGTAGCAGCTAATATAATATAATATTATTCTTACTTCCAATATAATACAGTGCTTGTTGTAGAAGATGAAGACGATTTTCTTGAATGTCATTTGTATCGATGAAAGTTGATTTACAGATTTTTGAAGTTACTCAGATACGATAATTAAACGATATACCTGATGGTAGAAAAGTAACTGACACGAAATGGTATCGAAAATTACAAAGTAAATTATGAAATCTAAATGAAGAAATTACTAGCAAATATAAAAGCATAGATATAAAATGACATAATAAGACCATACTACTATTAATCAAATAAAACGAAAAACAATTATAAAATAATTCTTTAAAAGCGTAAAAGTTCAAAAAACGAAGCATTATCAAAAATACTTTTAAAAATCAACCTAATTGTAAATCAGTTCTTTTTTTTATAAAAGTGAATAACGGGTAATTATATTACACTAAAGACGTTCGCTTATAAAGTCCGCAAACAATTATTTTATTTCCCGCGAACTTCCTGAGACTTCCTTTCAGCAGTTGCTTTCCGTTCAAAGAATCCGTTACCAGAGGTTACTTCCAATATCTCGAACGACGCTTTTACCAGACGATACCGCGTTCCACCTTTTAATCGTTCGCCGCCTATACTCGTCCCTTTTAATCGTTTCCCTCCCGTTTGTCGAGCTGAAACGCGTCTCGCGTGGCTGGAAAGGACGCGGAAGGAGCTGAAAATGCGAGCGACTAGGAAATACCCACTCGAGTTCTCATTGAACCGTCTACCTGTTGGCTACGACGTCTAGAATTATTTCGACGGATGAAGCGAATCGTGGAACCCGATGCTCAAACACCGAGCAACCGAAGAAAGACACATTTTCGAGGTTACCGCATTTAACGAAGCAGTTTTCCGCCGTCGGCGAACACTTTTTCGCTTCTGATTCCGCTTTGTTCTTGGCAGATATCAATTTGATGCATTCTATATTGAAAAATATAGGGTGTCCCAGTTCATCGAAAATATCTCTTGACAGTGGATTCTACATATGGAAATAATAAAGGAATGGTTCATATAAATATAATCAGCAACAAAAGTATTCGAACATTATGCATGCTTAAACATAATAAATATTCCATAATTTGTTTGCATGTTGTTAAAATATTTACTACTTAAGATTTTTTAATATAACTTAACGGTCGACAATCATTCTATTAACACATTACGGACGAGAGCGTTTTAAACTTCTAACATTTCTTTTCACAAGAAACTGAATTATGCTTGGAAATCTTAAATATTAAAAGAAAAAAGTCACATGTCAGTCTCTCGTTAATTGAATAATTAAATTATTCAATTGCAGTTTTCAATTTTAAATATCAAAGATCGAAATCACCATTATGGCGACATTCGACCGCAAAGGCTTAACATGAATCTAATATAAATTTAATATAATTTACTAAATAATTTAAAGATTTAATATTTTAATTTATTCACTAATAAATAACAATATGCGGTGTACAATTTTTAAATGTAAATTTATTTCTTATCATGTTGTTAAAATACTTTTGTTACTGACTGTATATTCTGTTTGACCTTGTTGATACTACAATAATAAATGTGATGCTACTGTAGTACTATATTGTACTGGTATTAATTTCTTGAACTTGAACATTTGAGCAAGAGTGTAGACTGATTCTGAACAAATTCATTAAATGAGTCAATTTGGCTCATATTGAATTTTATAAAATTATAGAATTTTGCTAAATGTTTGGTTCAACTTTGGTTGGTGGAGCTACGTAAATAAGTATCCTACTTGTTTAATTTTACATCTCTAATTTTCAATATCTAAATGAACGAATATCAATTTTTTTAAGAATAATAGAATAACATATCTAGCAAATATCCGTAAATCTAGTGTTAACACAGTCAATAAAAAATCACTCGGGAAAAGATGCTCAACCGCGGAAATCATAGTCAGAGAGTTTTCAAGTAGCCAAGAGCCATTCTTTTTCATTCGGTGTGATCGTCGATCGTCTACACGACGCATTACTTCTAATATAAACGGTTGACGTCACGGCGGTTGCTTCATCAATCATAAAGGATCGACTGTGCGGTGCAAAAGACGCCGGATCGATTATTGACATACTCGAGCGAGTGGTATGCGCGTCTCTTTGATCGAAAGCTTGACTCCCAATCGACGAGTATGTGGAGTATTCCACTATTTCAACGATCGCCTATTCCTAGCACGGGAAATAAGGCATTCGACCGCACACGGGTGAATCGGTATAATAGAAAATGTCGGAACGCGAGCCACAAACGAAGATAAACGTCCTGATTAATTATTATTGGGTCATCCTATGGTCGATAGGTTTCTGTATGTTCTTGTACTTTTAGACATTAAGATGAACAAAACTCTTTTTAATCTATAATATATTTTACTTTGTTATGTATAGACTATTTATCTGTGTATCGTAATCAGGTTAAAAAAAGGTATGTTTGTCTTAAATTACTAATTTCAAATTGTTTCTTTTAGGATTAATGAAATTATAAAAACATTTTTTCAGGTAATACTCAATTATATTAATATATATTTATACATACTACAATGAAAATGTGTCAAAATATCAAAAAATGCATTGTGAAGCCAATAAATTATAAAGTCAATTATAATGTCTGTTAAACATGTAGATTTCCATATTAGATTCATCCGACGTTTAATTATTAGAGAATACATGTCTAGTCTATTCGTGTCTATTAATAATTTAAGCAAAATCTATTTTAATACTTTCAACTTCATACACAGCGAAAAAGGAAACTTAATAGTAAGAAATATAATTTTCCGTTTCAGGCTCTGCTTTCCAGAAAATTAGGTTCAAAATGAACTGTAAGTCCAAGCAATTATTATCGCTTTATAGAATGTAAATAATTTATCTCTAAACTGCAGATCTCTTGTTTGATTGCTCCTTAAAGTGTTAATAACTTGCAAACAAAATAATAGTATTCTTAAATTCTTCTGAGGTCTCCACTGTTTTACATCTCACGCACTCCTATTTCTCAAAAATGTAAAAAACTCATATTATATTTGTCACATAATTATTGAATGAATTGATGGATCATTATGTGGTATTTACGTGGGATGTTTGAGATATCTCTAAGTACACCGAACTGGCCAACAGTAATATTGTTGGCGAAGGCGATATTCACGATACACGCTTTTCGCTGGCATTTAATGGAAAAGACGATGGCGGACGTCGACGAGAAGGGAAGTGGTGAACTAGTTATCAAGGAAGGAACCGGTGAACTTGCCTGCGTACATTCAGAGGCTGACCGGTTATATTGAAACTGTCAAACTTTCGCCGATAAGTCTCAAGTTTCTTAACGTGACTTCAAAGCACACTGGTCTATCCGGCAGACATTTTGTGATATAAAAATTCCTTTTTCTTCCGAGGGAGAAACTCATTGACATTTTTTACATTAAATAAATGCAAAATTATCTTCAAAGTTACTAAAAGTTAGACACTAAAAAATGAGAAACTAATCACTAATAAAAATAATCTTAAATCTTGTTAGCTATTTACATTTATTTTGTATAGTGTACACAATTTTCTTTTAAATAATGATAATAATCTTTTAATAGGCCGAAAAACCTAAATTAGAAATTAGGTAGCTAAGTTTAGTTTGGTAGCTTATTTCTTTGGATGTATAACATTTCTCATGCCGTAGGTATATACAAAGTCATAAATTTTCGTGGAATGATCCAAATGGATTTTTATCTTTGATTCTTTATTATGTGTAACACTTAAATAAAGTAAAAATTATGAATATAATTAAAAGCACAGAAAAATAATTAGAAATTTTCTACCACGTAATTCACGTCAATATGTTTTATTTTATGCTACTATAAACAGAGTCAAAGAACTTTCTAGAGAATAAATACCAAGAAAGACAATAGTCTTTCTCAATGAATGAGTTAATGTCGGTTCACGAAATTTACGGTAAAAAGTTGCGCGATCGTCGAAGAAATAGTACGGCAAGCTCAATGTACGAAATGGATTACGTTACGCAGTCCTGGATGGGGGTGAATGCGGCATCCTTAAATCGAGACTATACATTGTGGCAGGGGTTGCATTCTTCGTAGTATCACCGATAACAGATAACTGCAGAGAAATGTATAGTATCACTTCTTGCGAGATAAAGTGCGGCGAACGCGACAGTATTAATCGCTGATCTCATAAGACCGAAGTATTACAGTTTCAAATTACTTCATCAAGTGCAGCACACTGTTGTAACGAAATTGTGTATTACGTTGGTTAAAAAGTTTTGTCGTTTTACTTTTCAATATGGCATTTATGTTATCACGTACCAATAAATACTGCAAATTTCAAGACTGGAAGACAATCGAAAATTTTCGAATAAAATACGCGACATAGTTCAATGAAGTTTAATTTAACATAGCGACATTTTTTTTAACTTCATTTAAAAATGGGGCGAGACTTTCTGGTCAACCTAGTAATTTCAAAGGGACAAATTTTACGTTAAAATTACGAGTAGTCAGAATATTCAGCTTGGAATTTTTCGCAAAAATTATTAGAACACATTTTTTTAATGCTTTACGTGGCTTTCGTTGTACTATATTCACGAATATATAATTTAATTACTCCTCGGAAAGAAATATAATTTCGATAATTGTGAAGCAAGAAATCTGAACCTAATACTGTAAACCTATTAATCATAGAATACATAAAACACTTAACTATAGTAATATTTAAGTTTATGCGTCTGATCACAACTATGTATTTAATTTTAATAAACAAAAAGAAAAATGTATCTTACAATTAAAATAAGAATAGTATTTTATCTAAAGAGCACGTATGTTTGTTTTCACAGATGACATGTACAAATATTCTATTTCATTATAAAATCTACCGTTGTCAAAGAGCTTAAATTATGAAGGAGATATTAAATTTATTAAAGCTTCAAATACTTCATTTCTATTTTTGAACAAGACCGAAATTCAACGTGGTGGTCACCAAATGACCCACAAAGCCGGTTAATAAATCGAACGCAATCGATGAGCACCTTAAGTTACATGCGTCCCGGGCGAATCCAGTCCGACACCGATCCTATGGTCGTCCATCTTGCAGAAGGAAACGGGGACATAATCGCGTTTCATTTGCCGTGTGGAATATAAAGCCACGTTCTCACAGTTCTGAATCCTATCGCGCGGTTGTATTGTTCAAGTTTAATGTGTTCCACTTTTCGCAAAGATTATTGGTACTTACGTATTATGGTGCCCTTGTTTTTAAGAAAAACAACATTAATAATGGTGATATTAGATAATAATAAAATATTAATAATGGTTATAATATTAAATAACCCAGACCTAACTCAAATGACTGACCAGTGCGACCATCACTTAGGAAATGAAGGTAATCCGTATAATACATAAGTATCTAAGTAACAAATTACTAAAATCCTGTTTCTATCGCAATAAATATAGGCGCAATCTTGTATGCAAATATTCATTGTCATGAGTCGTGAAAGTAAGATAGAATAGAATGTCATTTTCTATTGTACATTTTATTTCACATGTTCATTTATATTTAAATGTTGAAAAGTGTACCTTATCCATTTTCCTTAATTTAGAATTTGATAAAAATTCTGTAGCGGTAGCAATCTTTTTTAATGTAAATATAGAGTATTTGCTACGTTAAAACGTTATATCCGATATGCAATATGCGTAGCATAGCAACATTTAATTAATATTACTGTAAAAACAAAGTTTGTTGATTTTAACCGTGTTTATGTTGTAGGATTCCGATGTTTGGTGAATATTTTTATTCGAACTAAACTTAGTACACGAAATCTTACAAGAGGCACTTAAGAATTATAATTTCTAGAGCTAGCGATTCTTCTTTTCTTTTCTATCGGTCAGCTTTTTTTGCTCGTCTCTGCCCTGGACAGTTTTGTATGCCCTTTTAAAGGCTCGGAAGTCTGACTTTGAAAGTAGTGGGGATGAGGATAAGGACCAGTAGGAATTTTGGATATTGCTAAGGTTCGGAGGGACAAGCGTATGATTCAGGATCGGTGAGTAAGAAAGTCAAGGGTCGTATGAGTAATTATATACAGAAGAATGAACGGTTAGGAAGGAAATCGAAAGTTAGCTTATCTTATTTACTAGCCTATGACGGTATCCAACAATGTATAGAGAATAAATAAACGTAATATTTATGACATGAGTGAACAATGGCGGAGTGACGAACTACAAATACGGTTAAAATCAAAAAACTTTATTTCTACATATATATAAAATATACATTGAAATATACATAATATAAACTACAAAATATACATCCACATCATTTTTTATGCTAAGTAAACAGAACCATTATAACAATATAATCAAATACGTACATTATGGTAAAGGATTATTCTTTGTGTAATGAATACAGTAAAAAGTATGAAAAGTCGACAATACGACTGATTGGCGGGCATTGATGTATAATGGTAACGGCTGGGATATTGGTGGAGTGTTGATTATTAAATGTGGTTGGCTCGGTGGGTGGGGATGCAAGTTGTGTGGTTTTATTCGATAGAGATGTTAAACGAGAAATACTTGTTGATTATGGATTATAAAAAGGCCGGAAATTTGCTTCGGCTAATGGATTCCGGACATACTAAGAGAAACTTCTATGGGGTGAGCGAGTCGAAATTGGTCAATGTACGTTATTGAAGGCCACAATATGAAAGCATTTTATAAATAGAATCTCGTACGTCGGTAATGCATACTTTGTTCGTGCGATTGACACAAACCATTTATTTATCAAATTTTTGCAATCATTTAACGAAAAGCAAAATGGGAAACGATACAGAACGAGTAATTAGCAATACAAATCGAATGAGGAAAATGAATATATCAAATTTTGTAGTATTTTCATTGCTAAACGTGTAGTGCCGTGAATTGGACATTCATTGAATCTGTATACATGAAAAGGTTCAGTTCCTTTATTGCCACAAATATTTATGGTTAAATAATTGTTCATCCGTTCTTTGTGAATCATAGAAAATTAATGAATAGTGACTTATGCAGCTTTTAATCTCAGTAATTCAATTCTAATGAGTTTATTACAAAATGATTTAGACGATCATTCATGACAACTGATTTGTTAGTTACAAATTACATACTTACTTTACTTTTTACTTTACTTTTTACTTTACTTTTTACTTTACTTTTTATTTTACTTTTTACTTTAGTTATCTTACTTTTTCTCGAGAAGTACTCTATCAAATAAAGTTAGAAACGTTTGCTTAATTTTATTTTCACTTGTATCAAAATATGAAAATATATAATGGTTTTGTGTGACAAGGAAGGAATTCGAAAATGAAATTCTGTATTAAAGGTTTGCAGGATGAATGAAATTCTCTAAATTCCTTTTCCTCCCTCTGCTGATCGTACGAATATCTGACAGGTGTTCTAAACGATCGATGTATGGTTTTAATTAATGTAATTTTATTTATATGGTAAGTTTAATCATTCGAAATCACCATCAACTTTTTTATTACGTAATATACATTCGTTCAGACGAATTCAATGACGCACGACAATATGTCGTTGCGTTTTATGGAAAGTCGTAAAATTCTGAATCTGCAAGTAGTTCGGTCAATGAATATTGCAAGTTGTCGACTGAAAGAACTTTATTTTAATGTGTCACGAATATAAACTAAACCACTGACTAGTCGTTAACAACAGTAATCAAACTTTTCATTATTTCAAAAGTCACTATATCTTAATCTTTTATCTTGACGTATTCTTTAAACAATCGTTACTCTATTGTTGAGCGGATTTATTGAAATAACTAAAATTTCCATCCACTTATATTTTAATGTATGATTTACTACATATTATCGTAAAAGAAATTGTAGAACAAAAAATTAATACACGAAATATTGTACCAAAATAGTTTAATTCTTTAACACGTTAACTGCCACGAATATCTCGAGCCTTTTACGTACCTAACACATATTCTTACGTAACAAATATAAATAGGAACAATTATTAATTATTTGACAACACAGTCTTTTCATCGCACTATTATCAACTTACTTACGTTAATAAACATTTTCATTCAGCATCAGTCATCTTACATAGTATACTTGTTGTTAAACAAGTCATAAGCGTCGGTCGTCAGATCTAATGCTTTGCACTCAAGACGCGATTCTGAGTCAAAATTTTTAGTGAAAATTCAATATTAATTTTCTTTTAACTTACACAAGATTGTTTTTATGTTAGTTGCAACTAATATTATCGATATTTCATTAGCAACCAACGAATATTTATAATAAAGAATATTATCAAGTACAAAGGTTTAAACATATAGTTTTTATACGCGTCAGTTGTACAAAGTATCACCAATATTTCACCCAAACGTCAAATATGTCCAGCAGAAAAAACTTTGGAGGGGTTTAAACCACCTCATAGACTTGGACGTTCGAAAAATCGGCGGGCAGCGGCGACGCTGGTCGAAAAGCCGCTAGGAAAAGCCGCATGGCCTGAAAAGCCGATGGCGCAAACCGCATGGCACGCGTCCCCCGGCACGGCAACAACGTAACCGCACGGCGAAAGCCAAGGCGGTGCGAACGGGGCTTTAGAAGAGGCACAGGGGCTATCTATTTCTGGCTGACTATCCGTTATCTTGTATCGTAGATAGCCGCGCGGGGAATGCATCGCAGCACCGGCGCACGCTAACGATTTAAGGGCTGCGGATGTGCAAGGAGGTATCCCGCGCATGAATTAGGTCGCCAGTGCCATGCGGACCGGCTAATGTGCGCAGTAACGGCACTTCGGTTAATTTCCCCGAGCGCACGATGCTCGATCGTCCTGCCGCTAGCCCGTAATCGCGCGATCGATTTACCGTTAAGAACGGTCCTAACATTTCGCGAAAAGATTGCACCTCGCGTTCTTTGCCGCGCAATTTGTCCGGGGAACCGATGTTTGGTAATGCGCAGAAGCTACCGGAATTTGCTTAGAGACTCTTTTGAACACGTGGTACTTAGGTACACAGAATAACACTTCGATTAATACCGGATTTGCGGATGCTTATTGGGGACTTTATTTTTATTATCCGTGGACAACGAGACTTTTGTTCATATGGATTTCTGGAGGTTAGACGGTTAGAAACAGGGAATTAGGATATGTAATTGTAAAATAGAGAACATTAATTAACTGTGGAATTTAGTTTGAAAAATTTCTCATTATGCACGGAATAAAATCAAAGAATAAAGCGTATACTCGTCAAAGGCAGGGCAAATGCACCTATAATATATTCTAACGATAGACTAAAACAAAACGAAGAATGAATTACATATTCATCTGCAAAAGTAAATAATTCACCGTTGAAAGAATGAGTTCAAGCCTTAAGATGACGTGTATACTCGCCAAACGCAGTTTACTAGTTAATGTTGCCGAACGCTTCGAATCTCAGTCTTTCTTTTTCCTTTACTCGCGTTATTCTTTTCGACGTCCGCCATGCTAAAATCTTCGTTCCTCGGGGTCGATTCGAATGTCGAGTTCGAAGAGTCGGGTCAGTTTTGTTGAGTGTTGCAATTGTTCAATGTTCACTGTACTAAAGGTACCCGATTAGAATTTAAATAGCAGAAATTACGAGTCTGCCGCGCCGCGGAACGCCACCGAACGAAAACAATCAGTCAGCTCGCGTTCCATCGTCGACTTGCGATCAGAGGGAGAGAGGACGGGGATCAATTCTATGGATCATGAATACGTACCGGCGTTAAATCGATAAACTGTGTACGGTGTCGGTGTGTGTCATTTCCTCTATCGCGCGACGGGGAGCGCGTAAATAATTGCATTACCTATCCTACGGCGCGTAATACGCGATGAATACCGCTGTATACCCAGGGCACACTAACGATATTGCCCTCACGTTCGGTCGCTGATCTATTTGCCACGGGATGTGGCCGAGCAACGGAACAGGACCGACTTCGGGCAATGCGTGTTGCCGATTTTAACGAAGTTAACACATTCGAGACCAGAGTTTTTTTAACTCCTTGTGCTGGACATTTATTCAGAGATTTGGCAATGTCTTGCATGAAGAGTTTCGTTTTTACCTACTTTACGAGGATATGTAGACTAATTTTATTTATTAATAATTTTGTGTAGACTGATACATTTCAAAACTATTTAATTTTTGTCTTTTCTCTTATGTCTATTTTTATTTGATCATCTAACTTTACTCTTATCTTGTAATCAGATACTCAGCTCGTTACTTTAAAGATAGTTGTGCACAAGGTTCCGGTACGTTTAGTGTTAATATGTTCATCGCAGTATTCAAGTGAAACTATTTATTTTTTGAAATTATTTCGCATATTTAAGACTTTTAAGATATCATAATTTCGAAATAAGAAAACTGATATCGGCCATTTAGACGGGTGCCATATATCTAGTGTTAATAATTTTGTATAGAGTGATACAAATTTAAACTATCTAGTGCGTGCAATGCAACAAGACTATCGGTATGTATAAGACGTCATTGGCAATTTTGGGACAAAAACATCTCTACATGTCTTTCCAGTGCAAGAGGTTAATTCCCTGCCCTATGATTTATTTCTTAACTATAATGGATGCAGCTATTTTTTCATTAATAAGTCATTAGAAACAGCAAACAAGTTTGATGTTTATTCTATACCTATGTTGACTGTACAAGTTAACGATTGATAATAGAAAAGTAATATTTAATTTATACTTAAAATAAATAAATAACCTTTAGATTTGCAAATTCAGTTTAAAATTTTCATTATGAATCTGAGACCATATTGTAGGTCAAGGGGTTAAAGACGGTTCTCATTAGAAGCCAAAACTCGGAATTATCACTGTGACAGTTAATGTTCATTTTTACAATCTTTATTATTTTGATTGCGGATTACTCTTTTTGCACTTTTATTTAGAAATCAATATAAATTTCAATTTTTACTACTAACTAATAGTGTAAGCAAGTTTTTCACTACTATTAATTATAATTTATTATCATTACTCCAATGCACATCTGATGTGTAATTAGTCCCGAATGGGTTAAGGCTGAAAGAAATTAGATACTTTAAAACGTTGCGTTTTAACTGTGTTTTCATTCGTGGTCATGTTACTGCATTCCTTTTATTTCATACCTGTTACAACTGATAACGACAAATCATTTAGTGTTCTGAGAATACTTTTCTAGAAGTTCTTACTATCCATTAAGAAAAACATTCTATGGATAGTACTAAAAAGCGCCTAGGCGAAAGGATCTTTTTAAAGTATTAATGCACAAATTCCCTAACCCAGTTTGCCGATGATAAGTTCGAACAGGAATAATTCCCAGAATTCAGTCGAATCTTTTGAATACTTGACTGCCTGAATACTAATACTTCGATCTAAAGTTTATATTCTTCGGGGAACTGTGTGATTGGTTTTTGCACAGATTCCGAGCAAAGGAAGATTTCCGTGATTGGTTAATTCGAAATTGACCCAACTCTCGAGGGTGGATAGGAGAGATTAGCTATTGGGACGCAATGTCTCCCATTATACAGAAGTGTGCAAATTACTTTCATTGTTGGGAAGTTTGAAGAAATGATATTTTAAAAGTTGTGTGCTCACAGAACGCTATACTTAATTAGATGCATGTGATCTACGCCAGGAAATTATTATATCGATACATTAAAATAAAAACCATATTAATTCGAAAATTTACTAATATTCTTCTGAAAGAAATGTTTTTACTCTGTCCAGAAGTAACCTCACAAAAACGAATGCATTTGATGTATGAAAAATAAGTTTGTATACAATATGTTTATAATAAATTACAATTTAGTAATTTCAAGTTTCTATATGTAGAATAAAATATTGCTATTTGGGCAATAAGTTTCTGAAACAGAAAGCACTATGAATTTATCTTTCCATGCCTTCAAAAGGATTTTGAAGAAGTTATGTATTTACATAATAATTTTGACCTTTTTGTACAACTGAAATAGGAATCTGATTTGATATCAATCAAATCATTCTAGTCTTCTAATCTTCCAAAGTAATTATACTAGTAGTCTATATTTTACATTTCAAACGTTAGTAATAATTGAAATATATTGGCATTTTATCTGTATATAAATATTATCTATTCATTTTATCTTGTCGGAAACGCATGTTCCCACGTTTTTCATTGAGTGATATTTTCCTGTTAGAAAAACAATAATAATCACGATTATTTACACCGAATTAAAATGGTTTAACGTGAAATATAAAATCACAGAAGTGTAACGAGAATGAGGATAAACATAAAACTATTCTTTCTAATTTTATTCGGCAAATGAATATTTCTGATGGCATAGATAAAGTCTCAGCCGAGATACAACGGTATTTTACAATAAAGTTTAACATGCGCGCTCGCTGCTGATAAGTATTGACGTGTTTTCAATTACCGATGGACGGAAAACCGCGCATAAGATTTGTGACAGTTATTGGAAAATATTTCGCTTTTGCAACAAGGTTGAAACTGGAATCGGACAGATTCGTCAGGATTTTTTTTACTTTATACACGAATGAGATTAACTTCCAGGAATTTGTTGATTTTCAGGAACATATAATCAACAATACGTCAATTAATGTATTTAACGTGTGATCTGTCTCTTCACCTTGTTATTCTACTTATTGTAAAATTCATAATTTAAAGAACAATAAATCACTGTTATAATAAAAAATTTCTTGCAAATGTTATCTATAAATACTTGAAAACACTTGTAAATACTTGAAAATTTTAAATAATAATTTCAAAAAAGACTTTGATAGTAATGATAACATCTGAACTGTTTAAATTTCTTGCAACTTATTACCACCATGTTTTTGCCGAATAATAAAATTGATTTTTTTCATATCAATATTGAAGTTTAATATAAAATAATATAAAAATCATATAAAACTTAGTAAGCATAATAGATCACGTTTGAACAAGCCCCCCGTAAAATTTTTCTCAAATATTTCATAATATGAAATGGAAATATTTTATTTCCAGTTGTAGTGAAATTGTAAAACTAGCATTCCAGCGACATTTATTTTTAAAAAGTACTTCATTTTCCGCATCAATTTCAGATAAATAATTGTACTGTAAAGTGAGCAATTTTAATTATTCATTTATCAAATCAGAGTTACGTCCAATCAAGATATTCGAAATTGCATAGTAGAAATAAGAATGTTTCTTTAACCCCTTGCCTTATGGTCTTTTTTCTCGACTTTGACCGATACGACTTGCTTCACATTAATCATTTATTGGAAATAGAGAATAGCTTTAAGCATATTCCATGTTTATATTTGATTTTATGAAGTATAATAATTAATGACAGAAAAATAATATCTCGTTTGAATTCGAATAAGATTTAGTAACATTTATATTTGTTAAATCCTGTTAAAAATCTTCACCGCGAGTCTGAGACGTTATTATAAGGCAATGGGTTATTGATACAGAAAATAGGCGGTTAGTGGAGCAGTTTGTTCCGATTACTAACGAAATGAAATATATTAATCTCGTTACCTCTTGAACCTTCCTGTGCACGATAATCTTGTGCCACTGATTATCGTCAAATCGGACCCTGGATGGTTTTATATGGAGATCTAATCTACCTTTAGCCAGCGTCATCCCCACAGCGACTCTACCATCTTTCAAGGCTATAGTTAGATAATCATCCCCTTCTCCTGGAACGAGACAAAAAAGAGAACAGTCAGCATAGTTCATACTAATTTGCAATTTACACTTAATGAATAAATGGAAATATTATACGAATATTATATTTCTGGTTTTTATGTTATCGATAATTGATTGGCTTATAATAGTAGTGGTCCAACTCCAATTTCTGAGTTCCCGGGGGAAAAACTTTTGCGAAATGTTCTTGGATTAATTAAATAGTAATATTACAATTATCAATATTAATAATTAATAGAAATTAATGTTATTGATATTAATAATGGAACATAATAAAAGAACATTTTATAAAAGCTTCTTTTTCTCGAGAACTCAGAAATAGGTGTTGAAAAATGGACATTTTATTATCTATTAATGGTTATAGAGGTGACTTCTGAAATAGATTATTTACAAGAATGTTGAGAAATGATTATTTTATTATCATTAAAAAGTTATTACTTAGGAAAAACAAGAATTTTTTTAAAAATTGAAAGGAAATATAAATAAAACTTCACACTGACAGTTATCAATTACAATTAGTATATGTGAAAAGAAGAAAAGCATGAAGTAGGTAACGAAATAGTGGTTATGAATTATACAGAGAAATTAGCTCATAGAACGGTTGTTTATGATCAAGTAGTCGATAACCACCGACAGTTTTCATAAATTATAATTACTTGTTAGTCTAATTACATAATGGAATCATTAGAAAATTAAAAGTAAATTCATTCCCTTGATTATTCATTAGGAACGTACGTTAGTTTTCCTAGTGTTTTGTTTGATCTCATCATAAAATGATAAGCATAGAAATGAGACACTATAAGGCTCACCAAAAACCTTACAGAACACTGCATTTCTATATAACATTAGAAATACATGGCTGACAATGAATTGCGAATAATTATCATTACATATTAAAAAACACTACAAATGATAAGTACTAATAATTTTGGCAGCAATGGTAAAAAATGATTTACAAAGTAAATAGTAGAGCTTTATAATACTTGAAAGCAAATTAAAAATTAATATTACTAGTAAATATTTACAGTAAACACTATTTACTATTACACTGCATTAAATATTGTAATGCAATAATATTTACTATTATGTTATATTAATATATTCTATTCATAAACTACTAATAGTGAATAATAGTTGCATCGATACGAATTTGACAAAAATAAAAAGAAATTTATTCACAATTTTATGTAATATCTGCCACAAAGGTCGTAGTTCGTGATTCATAGTTCCCTTTAACCAGTAAATTTGGTTTTAAAAGTTTCTCGTGACGTATATAATAAAATAAACTAACAAAAAACATACACGTCGAACGCAGGGCAAATGCATCTAGTATATATTAATATAAAGAATTCAAGCAAAATGAAGAGGAATTACAAGTTTATTTGAAAAAATAAATAATTAATCGTTGAAAAAATTTGTGTTATTTTAGGTTCTATAAGGAGACACGTATGTGCATGGAACATAGCTAACTTATGTGGTTAATCTTACGCAAGCGTAAGAAATAATTGACTGGGATTTATTCATTAACCCCTTGTTCTATGATTTCTTTCTCAATTTTGATGGATACGACTATTTTGTCATTAATAATTTATTGGAAAAAGAGAAATACTCTAGACATATTCTATACCTATGTTTCCTTTTAAGTATAATAATTGATTGCAGAAGAATAATATTTACTTTGTTGAAAATCTCATCACGAGTCTGGCATGTTGTTATAAGGCGAAGGATTAAGGACAACGAAGACAAATAAAGTGCCATTTGCCACATCTTAATCCCACAAGTCGTTTTGGCCTTAGCGACGTACGCCCATAATTTATGAGCTTTTCAGTTCGATCGGTACGATAATTATTAACGACGAGGTTGGTTGCTTTAGTGGGATTGCATAACTACGTCGGAAACGAAAAGCACCGAAACTAATGGCAAGCGGATACAAATGATTCATACACGCCGTTTCAGGATTTAATCCTCTTCGAAATCAGTTCGTGGATAAGTAAAAAAATGCTCCACAAGACTACCTTTGATTTAAGGTAATTCCAGGAGAGATTGCCATACGAGAGAGATGGCTACTTTTATTATCTTTCATAAACAAATGACTCGATTACAATCACAATTGATGTTCTATCATTTGTAATTTTCATTATTATTGATTATTTTGTACGAAAATAACTACAGTTTATTTAGAAATAAAATCTGGTGTTCTGAATTTTTTAGTTTTTATTTAAATACATTCCAAAGGAAATATGATGAAGGCAACAATACAGTTAATTTTTTACAGTTAATTTTCCATTCATAATTAGCTAGATAAGAATTTAAATGTATAAATTTCTATGTATGCTACATATAATGTATATTATAATTAAGTTAATAATTTACGTAAATAGACTTAACGATTACGATATATTCAAAGTGATTTTATTTTAAAATATAAAATAACCTATTACAAATAGATAAATCTGTTTAGAATTTATAGAGTTATTATAAATCATATTCGTAATTTTTTAAATAATTCTCTTCTCCCTCATTTTACAAATATCCTTATAAAAATACTTGAAAAATCATATTTAATAAAACTCTACACTTGTTAAACAATTCGTGATGTATGAAATATCTCTGGTGTAACTGTCATTAATAAGAAAACTGACAAAAAGATTTGAAATTTTATATATTCATTTTTATTAACGTTGAAGATTCCCAGATTTCTCTACGGTAAACCTTCAATCCTCGATTTTCATCGATTTTTATCCTCTTCCCCATCGTATTCCAACAAGAATTGTCAATATCTTATTTTTTATTTCCTTTGGGATCTTCCTCTTGAAATAACGGGACGATGTAAAGTGAATAGAATTGAAATTCGAGGGAGATGTAAAGCTTTATCGCGGAACAACGAAAGCTGGCACGTCGACGAGACGATTGGTGGTGCGCTCCCGTTAAAATTCAGCATTTATTCATTTATGGTAATCCTTGACGCGCACCAAGCGTTCAAATGCAAGGGTCAAATAGAATAGGAAAAAAGTACTGCGCAAGAACTACGAAGATACGGTTCAATGTGAATACTACGAAATGGGATCGCACCTGACGGGGAGCAATCGTTGCGACGTGAATTAAACTCGACGCATGTTTATTGAGAAAAATAGTAAAAAATATCCGGAAGTATAAACGAGATGTTGAAATATCTCCACATGGCATATCATGATACGTTATCATCATTTTACAGTGTAGTTTTAATACTTTTAGCAAAGTGTACTTGAAAATTAAACTAAAGCAATTATAATCAAGATTTTGTATCCTCAATATTTTACATTAAATAAACGAAATGTATTACAATTTTATGAATGAAACATATAAAGTGCAAAGTGTAGAAAGTGTACGTACATTTTTAGTCGTCGCTGTGTGAAATATATACAAGTTGAAAATGCCTTTGTCAGTAATGAAACATTAGAAATAAATGTATTGAAGAATTTGTATCATATTCAGTACATATTGTGAAAAGGTATATATGGTTGACCTGTGGTTATTGGCGTTTGCTGGCAAGTAAAGGTCTTTAATTAAATTATTTTATATGTTATAAACTCATAGGTATATGGATATCAACCAAACCATTAAATTTCGTTGTCATAAATTTTGATGTGTATGAAACATAATTATCTACTATGTATTAATATATTGTATATTGCATTTATAATCTGAATAATTATAGATAAGTGTAATATACATTTTTATCTGTATTACATTTTATATTTAATTATACAGTGTTCTTGTCATAGTTCTGTATTTTGGCGATTGTTTTAGTGTCTTATTTCTGTTTCCAAATCGCTCTTAGTTATTTTCCATAATATACTAACAGTAAAAATGCAATCTTTTTCTTTCAAATATCAGATATTTGATGCACCTATTTTATCTTGTACGCAAGACTTCCCTTATTTTTAAAGAATTATAACTTTTTTCAAGTATTCAAAAGAGCTAAATGTGGACGAGAATTTTTAAATAGGGGAAACAAAAAAAATTAATTTCCTAAGTAACAAAACTTTATCTTTTTATTTTATTATATGAACATATGTACACATGTACACTATACAGATTCCAAATATAAATTTTTTTTATTAATCGCAGAATCAAATTAATAAGTTCTGATATATATTATATTATTGAAATGATAATGAAATTTAGAAATAAGCGTATAGATGAATAAGAGAACGCAGAAATGTGTTTGTAAATGCGCATTAACGTAACTGTTATGAAATTGAAGAGAACATTAATGATTAATAAAACAAGAATTTTTAATTACCAGTGGGGCAGGAATCGCGATTGCGTCCTTTGCCTGTACGAACAAAAAAGTTCATATAAATATTAGGTTCAGTAACACTTCGTTAATGAGGCATGAATGAACCTGATTGAAGTGTGAATGAAACTAATACTAAACAGATAAAATGTGAAGTTGGATTTTATAGTTTTTTGCACTCAACATACCGAAAGAATAATTTTTTTACTGACTGACGATAAAATTTTAATCAGTGTTCATAATTAGTCTTTGCCAGGTTGTATGTTGATCGATATTATTCTTCAGAAGTTAACGATTAATATTTCACAAGATATTAGCAATTAATGTTTTTAATATCAATTATGTAAACTACTTTACATGCTTTATCTTCATTTTTTTCAATAAATACACATATTTTTTAATTAATTACACAAAATTAGTCCATGTGCATATGTTGTTATTTCATAATAGATAAATAACTAAACCGCAACACTTACTGTAAGAAAACGAGTGTAAATGATGCAAAGCAGTGAGTTCATGTTTAAGACTATAGAATCTACGGTGTGACTTTAGTTGTTAACATCTTGTAAATTAGTAGTCATAATTCTCAGAAGGACAGTGCTGTCGTTCTCAGGATGATGAGTAGTACCAGCAGTCAAAAGCGCGTTAAAAAGTTTGTGCAGTATTTCAAGAGCTTCTCACGTCAGTTTTCATACTACCATTCATTAAAATAATTCCACTGTGTTCTACTAAATTAGTTCTTAAAAGACTGCTATAAAACTGTCAAGTATACTCTCCAGCGTTCACTGTGGAACATTTTTATTCTAATTCTATACCGTGAAAATTAATTATTAGTTTTGCACAACGATAATTATGTAAATATGTTGGCAACGTTTTAACTATTTGTGAAAAAACTAAATGTATTAAACACACTATTTCTTCAATTATTTTTCACGTCAGAGATTATAATAAAACTGTATTAATAGTTGTACTTCTTTTCCCACATTTTGTCGATTTAACAATGAATGTACTCCTCTCGCGGACTGATGTGAATGAATATTATAAATAGAACGATTGTTCACGCATTAATTACATTTCGTTATAAAATAATCTTGTAGCAGAAATATGTCAATCATATATTGCGTTTTCGTTCTTTAGTGTGCTAAATGAACAGCAGAATAATACCGTATGTTAAAACCGTTTCTGAATAAATGTGAACGGCACATACAATTGCATAATGAATTAAAGTGAGTGAAAACATAACAATTCATTATTCAACATCAACATAAATGAAGCAGGACTATGAACAATCAAGTTAATTATTCATTAATTAAGCTTGTAAAAATATTTGCTTTCATTAAAACAAGAGAATTCATTATTTCAAATTACCTTGTGCAATATTAAATACAAAATGGAAATTATTACTTATAAACTATGTCATTTCATTTTGTTGAATCAGGGGTTACTTTTTATGAGAGGTTTATGTACCATTTTCAAATTAAAGAAATACATCAATTATGTTTATAATAATAACTGTATTCTAAAAATTAATATTTTTTGACAGTTAATATATTTATGTGAATCTAGCAATTTCATTTATTCCGTAGTGATATCCGTATATCGTATGACATCCAATAATTTTAGTTGTGACCAGTATATATCATAACGATAACTCTCATTGCGATAAAATTGATTTATTTTTCAGGTCACTGGAAACGTTATAACGCACATTATTCAAAATACTTGTCTTTATATGCATAAATCGTTATCATTATTCATTTGAGTAATATTATTACTAAATTACAAATATTCAGCAGATTTTAATGCATTTTCATTAAGAAGAATGATTTTTCTTATTACCGACTATGAGAAATTTAAAACAAAAGGAAGCTTTAGAAACTTTAATTAAATTTCTTACTTTATTTTTGTATGGCGTTAACGAAAAGAACTGTTACTTTTTTAATTAATTATTTACCATTATAATTATTTATGTATTTGTATTAAAGAAATTCTTGTTAAACAGAAAATCTATACATATTCCATAGTGAATCAATATTATTACATTGCCAAGTTTCAGATATTTTACTATTTTTTTAGTTAATTCAAAGTATTTGGAATTATTAAAATCATTGGATATTAAGTTTACATACCAAGGTATGTTCTAAAATCTATATCGTTAGGATTTCTACATCAAAAGCCTGGTGCGCGTTGACTTGGTCTGCAGACATACATTGAGAAGGTGGTCTGAGTGATCGGTTATCTTGTATCGGATTCATGTTCAAGTGAATTGGAATAGCTTCTGGGTGTCACGTAAGTAAAGATCATCAGCCTTGCTTAGTAGCCAATGCGAATATTCTGCGTTATTTGAGATAACAAAGGGAACTACATACAATGGTAACAGTATAAACAGTATAAAATTAGCATATCGTAAATAAATATAAACACCTTCTATATTATATCTTCGTTTTATCAGAATAAATAAATGATTGATTTCTTAATAAGAAATTCAAAGTTATCTTAACACTAAAATTACTGATCAATTAGAGTGACTTATTTCTAATTTCTGATACAAATTAATATGTTTCATGAGATTCGAAGGATTTCCTAGTCATGTATCTGTACAAATACACAAATTTAATTTAAAATCTCTCGCAGAAACGCCTTCGTAATCTAAATACTTACAAAATAAAAATTCTTAAGTGGGTCAATTTGAACCGTTTGGTAGTTTTAGCGTTAAAATACCATAAATGTATAAATATCCGCAGTCTTGTTACTATCCTATATATTAAAAAATAATTATATATTATATATTGTAGACTATTCTTTTATCAGTTGATTATTTATGTACAGCCGGGGCAAAACCCAGCCGTACATCTGCGGAGGCGATTTTCGCCTGTCGATGCATTATAAGCAGTTAGTAACTCTGCTAGTATCATCCGTTGCAGGGAACTTGACACTCTCGTCTGAGTGGTCAGATTCGAATACACACACTAATCGTGTCGCGCGACAAAGAGCGGAGAGAGCCCTTTGCAGGCTTGCAATTGGATTTCTCGTAACGATTGCATCCGCCCCTATGACGTCACCGGTGCCAGGTTCGCTGCAGCGGACGGTACTTCGGCCGTAGCATTACAGGTCAGGAATATAGCGATGCCAATGTGTAACAGCACTAAGGAGTGTTATGAACAAATATCCATTTTTCTTTCACTCATTGACACTGCCGAGAAAAAGGCACATGCATCGCTTACAGTTTAGTTTAAGCTTAACTACTGGCATGTAAGGTCAGCTGAAATTTTGACGCGTCCGTAAAAATCCTTTTCCCTTGTATTGATATTTCAATTATTAAATATAAGCATTTTTATTAATTAGTATTGACAATACTTTTTGAACGTCCGAATTAACTTCCTACAGTATTAATAAATATTTTATATATAAATTCCCCAAATTATTAAATCAAGGAAGACTTTTTCTATGAATCAATTGAAAGATATATAATCACATGAAAATAAAATGATATGATGTTCTGCATGCTCCACTTTTGAGCGACAACGTACGTATTAAGTATATGTATGCAAAAAACCGTTTTGCGTGCGAAATGTCTAAACAAGGCTAGCGTTATAAATGTGTTCTGTATGCTTACTGAAAGTAACACAACTGATATTCTAAGTAGGGGACAATTTGTTACAACGCGCCTAAGATGTAGATAGGTTTAATCCATTCGGCCGACATTCGCTTTGTGCTTAAATTATTGCGAGAGAAAGTTGGGGCTTAATGAATAACTAACGATCGTAAAAGTTTTCTGTTTGATGGAAATACTAAATACAAAACGCGATTTAAAATTACCACTGCACTGCGTTCCAGGAGAAACGCGTGGAATTTATAACTACAACTTCAACACGTAAAATTCTTAAGCTTTATGGGTCTTAAGGACGAGATAACTTCTGTGAAAATGGGCGTTGGAAATAAGAAAATGACGCAGTGGTAGCTTTTCCTTTTTCCTATGTATGGTCAATTCGTGCTGCGTGTTTAATATTATACAGGGAGTACAATCGCACCACAATTGCGAATTGGGTAATTCTTAATAAAGAAATGGTACAATAAAATTTCTTCATTTAGAACTTTGTTTTTAAGAATATCAATTTGAAAAATCTTGAATAATGATAAACCTAATTGAACACGCATCACTAGAGTAATAAATATATGTATATAAAGTGAAAGGTGCACTTTTGCAATAAATCTAACATCCTACAAAAATTAAATAAAAGTTCATATTATATTCTTACCATGGCAAAATATTCAATCAAAAGTATGCACTAAATAAAGTGACCGCACGAAAACTACATATCAAGTAAATTATACACATCTATTTAGTCTATTTCTTTAGCAGTCAAAGAATCTCAGAAAATCTAAATTTACATTCTGCAAGCTTCATGATAATATCACCATCAGTAACGGCGAGGACAAGACAGATTGACGCAAGAAATAATAAAGGGGTAGGCTTGAACGATAAATGAAGCGAGAAGGGAAACAAAATATCTAGTGCAACCGCATCGTAGTTGAAGTAAAGGGTGAAGGAGAGGAGGAAGAGGCTGCAGTGCCGTGGACTGGAAACCTATACACGCATCGAGGCCACGGTCCGCAATGCTGTAACACACACATACACACTCGCATAGTTCACGTTCTACTTTGGTACATCGCATATCTGCTTGCTCCGCAGTACTAGCCCCTGGTCGCTCATTTGTTCTCCTGATAAGCTATACCTATGGTCACCCGTTTAAATTATGCACATTTTTGCCCGGTACGTGGAACAACGCTGTCGGTTCATATTCCGCGTCGCGGATTTTTGTTCCGTTACACCGAGCCCCGCGTACCGAAGATAACTTCGGAACCGCGGTTGATCGTTTTATAACCTTATCTTGCAACGAGTGCGTTTCACTGGACTTAAAATGATTTTTTTTCTTCGATATTGCGTGTAGATTTCACGTCTTTACGGTCTTATCGTCGACCTATGTGCGCGTATATAGGTCACGATGATTTTAAAGAAAATCGAGAAGGCTACATGT